AACTGCATTATACAGATGAGTTGTATGATATTAAATCATCTGGGTATGGCCTGATCGCATCGAGTTCTTTAGTTTCACTGTTTCCATAGTATTAAAATTATAAACTTTTGCTAGCGATGCGAATTTTTCTCTAAATATCATAAATCTTCAACATCTTACACTTTGATTTATAAGGCTATATTGTAAAGCATTTTAAAAATGTACTCGATGAGTTTGGTTTCAGGAAGTAAGGATACAGTTAGGATATTGACAGTTATCTGTAAGATATGGTTGCAGATTCTGAAGCATTCCAAGAGATAAGACCTTTATGTGTTGAATTATCTAAGTTGGCCTTCCAAGAGAGGAATATCTTCGATTCAGAATCATCACAACTTAAAGATGCCTTAAAAAGTATTGAACAAAAATTGTCAGGATTCCAAACTGATTCATTGTCTTTAAATTTTGCTGATTATGTTTTTGTCCCTATAGGTAGCTTGCTGAAACAAGAACGGTTGGGAACTCCACAAACTGAATTAGTATTACAAATCATAGGACATTTGCTAAGGCTATGTTGGCACCATAGCGGGACCTTGAACCAAGAATTGGCTACGCAACTTTTCCCGTTACTCACGTATCTTATAAGTCCAGATAAAGATAATGAGAAATTGAAGGGTATGTCTGTTTATTATAAGCTAGTTAGTGCACAATTGCTGAAACAATTCTTCACATCGGTAAGCCAGCAATCCTATAAACAAGAATTCTTCACATCTGGTGGTGCAAAGCTGCTACCAAGTTTAGGGCACTGCATTACAATATTATTGGATTTACTAGGTTCTGTTCCCTATGATATTAAACTTCAATTGTGTACTTTGGAAGGTTTGGAGATATTATATAAAAAATTGGCTTCCAACGGTGAACTTCTTTCCTTTGTTTTGCCCGGTAATATATCTGCATTTGCCAAGATATTATCTCTGCCTGGTCTGAATATACAATATAAAGTTGTTTCTTCCACTTTACATATATTTACATTACTGCTGCGAACAGTTTACGATGACGTCGATTTAAATGTATCAGAATCAAATAAAAATGTTTTACAGTTATTACCAGAAACTCTGGATGATGATTTGAAATTGAGCAATGATTTGAGGCTAATTAAAATGGATGGTTATTTATCTGAAAGCTCAAAGAAACACAGAGATATAGCTTGGCTGAAAGCTACCTCCGCTCAAATTAAAAGAGCACTAAATAGTTTTACTGAAAAAAATATTAAAAGACAGAATGCCTCTATAAATATGGAACTAGAAAAAATGGCATATATTGCATTATCGAACTGCTCAATTTCTCTATCAAATTGTTCCGATGATTTTTTGAATATTTTAGTAAGTTTAAAGTCTTCATATCTTTTACAATTACCAAACATTTGCGGGAGCTTAAGGGAAATTATAGAATCCAAATTTGTTAAAATTGGAAATGCACTACATTTTGATGATACCATCGATCTTGATTCATTATCGTTTGCTTTTAAAATTCTATGGCAAATGGAGCCTGACAAATCCATGCTCTCATTGGCAACCACTTCAATTTTGGACAGTTTATCTACCTTTTCGGAACAAAGCATACAAAAATATGAAAAGAGTAAGGTAATTGAACAAACCAGTAATGTTATCATTAAAACAGTTCTACAAGAAAGTGATGCTAATCAGGAGTTTTTGTTGCCATACTTACCTAACGATACAGAATCATCATTGTCACAGTTAATTAAATCAATCGGAAGCACTATAGATAATAACGAGATTCTAGATGAAACAATAAATAGTTTATTGACGGGCGACTTAAAGTCAAATATTCAGCAGAAACTATTGTCTTTATGGGTATCTACCCGAATTTTAGTAGGATCTAAATTGTTAACAGTAACTTCAACAGATGATGAGCTCCTGGACTTCGGAAATTGTGAATCAGAAGTAGTACCAGATTCCTGCTACAGTATATTAGAATATGGAAATGAACTATATCAAGAGATAGTTTTCCTGACAGAGGGTTCTCAAATGTCAAAAAATTCGGAACAAGCTTATGCTATCGTTCTAGATTCTATTATGCAAGTTAGTGAAGTAATGAACAAAGAATTTGAATCCGAATTGATTGATTATATTTACATTATAGTTGACTCGCTGGCATCTTCTTCGCCTATTATAAGAAATAGGGCTCAAGTTTGTGCCATGTCTATTGCAAAGAATCTTTACTCCGGGTCCATTCAAAATTTATTGATGAATAATGTTGACTATCTTGTGGAATCTATTTCGAATAGACTTAATTCTGGTATGACAGAGCGTGCCAGTAAGGTCCTTATGGTTATATGTAAACTATCTGGATATGAAGTTATAGACAAATTCAAAGATGTGATAGAAACGGTGTTTCGTTTGTTGGATTACTACCATGGTTATTCCGAACTTTGTTTGCAATTCTTTCAATTTTTCGAAATAATTATTATTGAAATGAAGAAAACGTTTTTGAATGAGTCCGACAATTCTAAAATACATGAAGATGTTTCTATCAACACATGTGGTTTTGCACCGTGGGGTATTCAAAATTGGACTCAATTAGTTTCATTATTAGATAGTCATACAATGAAAGACGCCAAGTTAGCAGAAACAATTGAAGTGGAAATTGGGGAGCCTAATAACTTTCAGGATTACTTTGATCAAAAGTTAAAAGAAATTGACAGTGACGATGAAGAGGAAATTGAAGAAGACTCGGACTTTGACATGGAATCTCAATTTGGTGGAAAAGAACAGATGGAAAATAAATGGGAATCTCCAATCCCTAAGGAATCATATAGAATATTATTAAAAATCATAAACTACAGTGATAGACTACTGATGCATCCATCGAAACCACTTAAAGTTCAAATATTAAAAGTTGTGAAAATGATGTTACCCCTTTTAGCGACACAGAAGGATTCTTTATTACCACCGATTGCACAAATATGGGGTTCGATTGCAGAATGCATTATGGATTCTGATTTTTCAATAGTAAAGCCAGCATGCGAATGTGTGCAAATGATTATAAAACATTCAAAAGATTTTGTAACCAAAAGGTTTGTTGACATGTGGCAAGAATTACAGAAAAGATCTCATATATTAAAGGAAGTGCATTTAAACAATACCAACACAAGTCAAACTAGTGTTGACTTAATTTTTCATCAAAAGTTTGCACCTATAACTAAAGATGCTCTAATTTCATTGAGCTCTATGCTTCTTGAAGGAATTGCAGTCTCTGAATTATTATTATCAGAAACAGTTGTAAAAGAAATGATGTATTGTTGTATACAAGTCCTCCCAACCGATACAATTGCATCAAAATCAATATATCTAGGAGACGTCATTTGGGATATCATGCATTAATAACTAGAGATGTTCTCCTTCTTTCGTATGTTTCTTAGTTTTACAAAATTAATATTTATTCATATATATCACTATATATTCCTTTTTCAGTTATTGTCATTAGATTATAGACGACAGAGAACTTTGAAATATCTGAGATTAATACATAGAATAATATTTCTCATCTATTTACTGTCACCTTCGCCTAGTAACAATTCCTAGTTCCATACAGTTATATAAACATTTTCCTGTTAATTATGCGGAATTTTATTTCTATCGAAGAAACCTCCGAAAGCTCTGATATCGAAAGGTATAATTCGATGGATAAATCAGGTCGAGTATTAAAAAGAGATGAGTATTGATTTCATAGATTTATTGTATTCTTGATGAGCTTAAAGGATCTTTAATCGATTATCGCTATTGAATTGATAGAACTTAGTGGAGATATTTTTTTTATATGTTGTCTATTTTAAATTTTAAAGAATTGACATTTGTAAATTTAACTACATATATTAAATTCATAATAAATGACAAGAGATGGTTGGTGTAAATGATTACATATCTCCCCATGATGCAGCACTAGCTGTTGTAGCCACTGCGATGAAGAAGTCGAGATTGCATATAGATACATTGATAATAAATTCTTTTCTAGGTGGAACATTTTTCACTTGTGGTGGTCTATTAAATCTAGCAGTACATAGCGATAATCCAAATTTATTTAGTAATAACCCAGGTATTTTAAATGCAATATCTGGGGTAACGTATGGGATTGCACTATATTTTGTTGTAATTACAGGTGCAGATCTATTTAATTCCAATATACTTTTCTTTTCAGTGGCCCTTTGTCGTAGGGCAGTTACGATATTTGATCTTTTAATATCTTGGTTTGTCAGTTGGATAGGTAATATAGCATCATCGCTATTGATTTCCTATCTTTTTGGCTATCTCTCAGGTATTGGTAAGACTAAATTGTGGAAAGAAACCTCCAAGACACTTATAGAAGAGAAGGCATCATTTTCATTCATTGAAACTTTCTTGAAAGGTATAGGAGGAAATTTCCTTGTGAGTTTAGGAATATACTTACAACTTATGGCAAGACCAATTCATGTCAGACTGATAGTGTTGATATTACCTATTTTTACATTTACCACCATTGGGTTCACACATGTCATAGGTGATATGGCAATTGCATATATAGGAATGTTCAATGGTGGAAATGTTTCAGTAGGAGAATATATTTGGAAATTATTAATTCCAGCATCAGTTGGGAACATAATTGGAGGGTCAGTGTTTGGGATAGTAGTACCATTTTACTTGCATTTAATTGTAGTTGAAAGGGATGTCAAAGAACTTGATTTACCAAATTACGATACAAGAGATGTTCAACCGGAATTAAATACCGATTCAAGAATAGTTAGAGTTCCAAACAAAGTTCCAAACAAAGTTCATCCCGATATATCAGGCTCTTTAAATATAAAATCTTATCAAAATGATAGTAATAATAACGGTGATGAGGTAACACATATATCAACAAGTTCATTTTCTGATAGCATTAGTAGAACTACTACAGATGATGTGTCATTAATCAATTCAGTACAAGCATATACCACAGGAGTTGCAAATAGTATCACCAACGATGACACTAATGAGCTACGGCAAACCAGGACTCAAATGACACAGAATTCGTCAAGAGCAGGTGCTAATTATAGTTCAACATTATCAAGATCACCACCAGGGGTATTCCCAGTGTTTGGGATGGGTGAACCATTAACCAGAGAGAAAACCATTCAGAATTCAACGTATCGACCGGCACCACAACCTAATACGCTAATAGCATCATCATCAACAACATCATCCGCTAATATTTTAAACAAGCATGTATCAAATAATCGAATAAACTCATTACTCCCATCAAATACTTGGTCTAATGATAAAGAACAAGAAAAGGAGCAAGTACAACAACAACAACAGTACCAAGAATATTACAACAATAGTAATAATAGCATTAACCAATATGATGTTCTTAATAAGAGACCTGGTGCAAGACTTAAAAGAGCATTAAGCATAATTAGTGCAGCTACCACCAGCAGCAATACTAATAGTAATCATGATAGAGAAACTTCAAATTCTCGACTACCAACTACAAATCAAGACCTTCCATATCTTAAAGAAGCAAATATCAAATCAATTAGGAAACCAAAAGCTTCAAAACAGAAGATGAACCCTATGAATACGATATCAAGACAATTCAGTAAAGCTAACCACTAGTTTTTTCAATAAGCAAATTCATATCCCATGAATTGATCAATTAATCAATCCATCGACCAGCTTACAACGGTAATTTCTTAATTATAACAAGTATGTATTGTAGTAAGTAATTGAATTAAAATATCAACCGTAGTAATTCCCAAAATATATGCATACTTCTTCCTCTTCTTTTGTTTCCTCTTCCTCTTGCTCTTCTTTTCGAAATAGTTTCAGTAGTTCGAAATTCGAACTCGAACTCGAACTCTAACTACAATTAAAATCAGGAAGGTTTTCGACAACCTTTTACAGTTTCATAGATAATCACGAAGCATTTGCATTGTATTTTGCAGTATTCCTTTAAGGTTTTTGTTGATGATATTTGTTTATTTTGACGTAGTTGGGCTTAATTCTGCATAGAATTTCTAAGCTTGGTGATGGTGAGGATTTTGTTGTAGTTTATAGAAATGGTGATGGTAGTGGTGATGGTATAGGTAGGTGGTATTACGTTATTGCACTCTAGAAGGTTTTTCTAATAGTGGATAAAAAAATTTGCAAGAGCTTTGGGTATGGGAAGTTGTCAATGTAATGTGTAATGGGCTTGCTCTAAGCTGTGTTAGCTAGTGGTGAGCAGTTTCTTGAAGTTTAAACAGTTATGAGTTTATGTAGTTTACTTATATAATGGTTCTTTTAGTAATTATTGATTTGGGGGGGTAGGAGGATGGAAGCTTCACAAGGGTTCTTGAGTTAATGTGTGCTCTACGCAAGATATATCTTGTGTTTATCTTGTATAGTATAGCTTATGTGTTACTTATTTGGATGGAGAGTAGGTAGAAAGTAAGAGGTATGTTTCTCTGTCTCCCATGACTATCAAGCTGTAGGTTATTGAGGTTAGAGTAGGACATATATAGCATAGTTTAACTAGAACCCTCTTGAGTGGACTTTAGTGTAACGTAGTCTTGTTTGGGCATATAGTATATGGTGGGAAATAGTGGGATATAGCAGAGAGAAATTATAGGAACCATCTATCCACCATCTTTTAACGGTTAGAAATCTTATATTGTAGGTTAAAACTTAGTTATTACTTCAACAGTAAATTCAAATAGTTGGATTCTATCATATATCAACATAGAGGAATATATATGAGCATAGAGAGGGGGAAGGATAGATATCAAGATTATATAAAGGTAGAGCAAATAATGAGTTCCTCTGGTGATAGGTTGAGAGGTAGTTATCCATTAGCATCAGGGTTTAAAGTACCTCAAAGTAGAGGGATTTCAGAGCCTATTACAAGAAGCATGCTAAAAGTTAATGATACACCAGTTCAGGCAGGTTGCAGCACTATTGGTGCTGGTGGATATCGTAACAAGGTTTCTCTTGAACCTGGTCATAGTGCCTTAGACTGGAATGATTTATGTGAATCTTCAGGAGTTAAAGGTGAGATGGTCAGTGGTCTTTCAAAACATTTAAGTGATCCAAATGATGAACTATTTATGATTAATCATGGAAATAGTCTTAGACAGTTAAGTGAAGGTGTTCCAACCTTTAAACTAATGCCACCTTTGATGATTACCAAGAAGATGGTGGCCAAACATAAGGATATAGATGATTGTTGGTGTATCATTAGAGGTAAAGTTTACAGTATTAGTAACTATTTTAAGTTTCATCCAGGAGGAGACAAGATATTGATAAATCAATGTAGTGGTAGAGACTGTACAAAGGCATTTGACCAATACCACAGATGGGTTAACGTTGAGAGATTACTAGAAACATGTTTTGTAGGTAATTTAATATGAGGGATGGCAATCTTCAAGCAAGAACAACAATATACACATCCACTTTCACTCCCACTCCCACTTCCACATATAATATATATATTCTTCATATAGATAGATTGTAAAACAGGATCAATAGTTATAATTTATATTATTGATTAGAACTAAATTATACAAACAAATATACATAAAAATAATACATGGAAAGTTACAACATTCTTTCCTTAAATTTTTAAGATAACTTCAAAAATAAAATATATTTAATATAATAATAATAATGGTAAAAAAAGGTTTTTTTTAAAATTGTAAAGGTAAAAACAAAATGATGAATTAAAGTTTCAGGAATAAATTATCTTGGTATATTATAATAAAGTTTATTTTTTCTTTAATTCTTCTTCATTTTCGTCAGGATAACAACTTTCCCATTCCTTTAATCTGATTCTATAATTTTCAGTGTATTCAGCCTTCTTGATTGGATCCAATTGACGCCATTTTTCACCGATAATCTTAGTGATCTCTATTAAGTTTTTATCTGGGTTTTCCTTTACTACCAATGGACGAATATCTTGAGTGAATTGAATGAAAGGACCGGAAGGTCTCTTTGGAGGTAAAGTTTTTTCGTATTCATCTCTTAGTACTCTGTATTTTTCCCAGTTACTTCTGAATTCATCGTAATAAGGTTTCTTTTGGTCGTCGGTTAGTTCCTTCCATCTGATGGAAGCCAACTTTGACAATTCAGGTACTTTTGCGTGAGGATGTTCTTGTAGTAATTCGTTTCTGATGGACATGGAGAACAAGAAGTAAGCTGAGGAAGGTCTCTTTGGACCTTGTTTCTTCAACTGTTTTCTTTTTTCTATTCTTGTTTGAGTAGAGGATAGTTTTTTGGTTGGGTTTGCGTTTTTACCTTTACCTGAGTGGCCGTGACCTTGACGTTGGGATTGTTGTGGGACGACTTGTTGCAGGTGTTGTTGTTGAGCGGCTAGTTGGTGGTGGTGTTGTTGAGGGACGTGTTGTTGTTGCAAGTTCATTTGGGAATGGATGGTGTCCATCAAGTTTTGTTGTTGGGCGTTCAAAGAGGAGGAGGCAAACATATTTTTTTGTTGTTGTTGTTGCAAATGCTGTTGTTGTTGCAAGTGCTGTTGTTGTTGCAAGTAGTTTTGCTGTTGTTGTTGCTGTTGTTGTTGTTGTTGGGAGGGACTACCGGATTGGTTTGGCATTTGCTTTTGAGCCAAATGGTTTAGGAAAGAGTTGTACATCAATTCTGATAGTTGTTGTTGGTTGATCTGTTGGTTTTGGCCTGGGTAGGCGAAATCTTGGTTCAAATGAGGTTGGCTCTGAGCGTTGCTTGAGCTAGATTGAGCGGCACCTGAAGTTTGGGAAGCGCCCGATGCTACGGCGGACTGTTGGTTTTGTTGGTTTTGACTTTGGCTTTGACCTTGACCTTGTTGTTGACCTGGTTGTTGGCCAGCTTGTTGGTATTGGTGGAATTGGTGAATCTGTGGTTGTTGACCTTGTTGGCCTTGTGGGTAGAATACGTTTTGCATGGTTTTGATTGTAATTTTTTCTTTTTATCTCTTGTGTTATTTTAAAATTAAAATAGAAGACAGACAGAAAAAAAAAAAAGAGAAATTAAGGATATGATAATGCAGGGATGTGTATATGGGATGGATATATCGACAGAAAGATTCTATGTATGAAAATGAGACTGTGGATGTATTCAGTTGATTTATATATATATATTATTTGTAGTAATAATAATGGTAAACTCTTCACTAGTATGATAAACAAAACAAAACAAAACAGAAGTGAGATGAGATGAGATGAGATGAGATGAGCTTGGTATCTAATTGCAGAGTTGTGATAGTAGTAAAACTAAGGTGAAGAAAGGGAAGAGAAGAGAGAGAGAAAGAATAGGAAGAGAAGAGAGAGGGAAAGGGAAAGGGAAGTGAAGTGAAGTGAAGAAAAACAGGAAACAGGAAATAAGAGAGAGAGAGGCGAGAGATGGGAGAGAAGAAAGAGACAAGAAGAGAGAACAAGTAGACACAAGAGGTATGCAATATGAAGTACACATATATATATGAGAAGAAGTTTGTTTATTTGGTAGACAGTTTTGTTGTTGACGGTGTTGATGTCGTCGATGTTGTTTGTTGTTGTTGTTGTTGTTGTTGTTCACGTTGGAAGAGAACACGAAAGAGAGGTGCGAGGGAGAAGCAGAAGCAGAGGCAGAAGCAGAGGCAGAGGCAGAGGCAGAGAGAGAAGGAGAAGGATGGGAGACAGACACGAAAGGTACGTTCCCGTTGCTGGAGTGTGGACGACGACGACAACGGCGACAACGAGAAGGTGAAGGTGAAGGTGACAGAACAGAAGCGAAGCCGTCAGCACAGCACGGGACAGCGATGAGGGGGGCAAGAGAGACACGCGAGAGACGAAAACGCAACGCACTGAAGTGAAGTGGGCAGAGTAAGAGAGAGCGAAAGAGCGAAAGAGAGAGAACAGTTTGGTTTGGCGTCGTTGTGGTTTGTCGTGATCCAATGGCAATGGCAATACGTTCGGGTTTGTGTTTGTGTTTGTGTTTGTGTTTTGTCGCAATGCGGTAGTCGGGCCGGATTTTGGTGTGAGCTGTGGACGCGAGTGTGGGAGCCCCCCATTGCGTTCGAGTGATGGACGACGACGACGACGACGACGGGTGGAGGACGATTTGTCGAGAGAAGTGTATTGGACAATAAAGTGAAGAGTAAAAGTGAAGCATGAGAATTTTGATTGTGTTTGGTTTTGTTTGTTGGATGAAATTTTTCGGGAGTTGGTTTTTGGGAAAATTTTGGGAATTTGGAATTTGGACTATTTTTTGTGTTTTGTTTGTTTGTGTTAGCTGTGTGGTTGTCGTTGTCTTAATGTGTAGTTGTGTTTTCTGAGTGACTGTTGTCGCGGCTTACGGAACACGGTGAGACAAACCACCGCAAATGAGGGCTCATATGAGGGGCCAGCCCAAGTCTGGCTGAAGTCAAGTCAAGTCAGAAAGTGAGTGGTTTGCTTTGCTGTGCTTTGCTGTGCTGTGCTGTGCTGTGCTTTGCTTAGGCTTGGCTTGGTTCTCTTTTGCTATTACCCGTAAATGCAATGTAATGTAATGTCAAATGTGTCTTACCTACACAAATTAGATATAGAATATATCTGTTGTTCTCTTGTATTTGCTTATGCTATGCTACGCTGTGCTGTGTTCTACCACTATGACTTTGGGTCTGCCAACTTGTCCTGCTATAGCACTCTCTCCCCTCACGTGTGCCATGATCTACTTGAACTTATACCATTAATACATACAAACTCTCGCTTTGCTGCTCTGCTCTGCTCTTGGGCGAGCGACAAGGCGCAAGCTCGTTTGGCTGCCCGCTAGAGGTCGCTTGCCACGGCTTCTCCAATGCAAACTTGTTCGGTTCGGCTCGGTTCTTCGATCTCGTGGACAAATCTACAACTCTCTCTCTCTCTATCCCATACATACTTATATATATATATGTACACACACACACACACACATATATATATATATATATAAGAGCCCCATTCATCGCTCGCCCTTAATCATCTTACTCTAGCCTCACATATACAACCATACCCACACACAATGGCTCTATCTATTAAGCAATTCGTCAACTTCGCAGGCTTCGTCAAAGATCTAAAATCATTCAACTTCAGGTACGTATCCCTCCCTTCCCCATCTCCATTCCCTTTCCCCTACTAACATATCCCCTCCCCCTCCTCCATTCCTACACAGCGTATACGCCCAGTACTTTGGCTACATCAACATCATAGTATGCATGGCCCTAGGTATCGCTAACCTGTTCCATGTCAACGCTGTCATCGCCTTCGGAATAGTAGCTATCGTCCAGAGTCTAATCATACTCTTCGTAGAGGTCCCTTTCCTACTCAAAATATGTCCCCTAAGTGAGAACTTCATCAATTTCATTAAAAACTTCGAAACTAACGGCTACAGATGCATCTTCTACACCCTAATGGCCATCGTCCAATGGTGCTCCCTCGCACTCATGGTCACAAGTCTGATCGTGGTCGCCATATGTTTGACTATATCCGCCATCTTTTACGCAATTGCTTACTTCAAAAATCAAGAATTCCAACATACTACAAATGTAATTAAAAATCCAACGGATGACGACTTCCCTCACGACGCTGTCGTAAGAGAAATGCTATAAGAACCCCCCCCCCTCCCCCGGCTTCCTTCCAAGCACATCCCATCGATATCCATTCATAACTCTTGGTTGAACCGCCATCAATTCAAGTCTTGTATTATGAATGGGACTCTATACCATTCTAATATCATCCCTACCTCAGTTATATCAGCATTATCAAAATATCTATACCTCTCTCTCTCTCTTTCTCTCTCTCTCTCTCTCTATATATATTACAAGTATAATATACAAATATAATATATAATATCATTGTGTACGTAAGATATCCTACGATCACAGATACTCTTAAAAACGGTGCCCTTTCCTCTCTTATTCAACAACGGAACGGAGTATTTCCCATACAAACCCAACCAAATCAGAAAATGAATATCATTTAAAAAACTGTGTTATTTAAGAAACTGCCCTTAACATCGCAAAACTATTATTAAATTCAAGATTTAAGTAGATGCCAATTGCAACACATCGATTGATATTGTCCTAAAACCTTATCCTGCTCTCCTTCTTCCCTCATTTGAACACAGCCCCTGCCTAATATAATCTGCCCTTTAAACCATAATCATATATGAATGCTCTCTCATACATCTCAAGCAACCTCATAACTCCAATAGAAGAAGAAGAACTGCCCTCCGGGTCCCAATCTGAGGATGTACAAACATACACTAACGATGTATCAGACACATGTGTCTCCTCCCAGACCCAGATCATCAGCAAAGTCGAGGATGTCTTAAATGAAGATAATCAAAGGAGCACTCTGGTACTGGTTTTGCTCTTCTTCCCAAAATATCTTCTTGTAAAACCAATCTTCTTCCTATGGTTCCTCATCACATTTCCTATAACTTTGTTCGAGCAAAAGAATAAGAAACTTCCCAAATCTTCTGCAAATTTAGACACTATGAGTAAGAGTAAAAACCTTAATATTCTAGTGGAGGAAGATTTATCTGGAGGAGGAGAAATCATACTACAAAGAGACACTCTCAATGGTTCTTTGCTGAAATCAAGAGCTAACCAGCAACATTCTCATCAATCAAGACATGCGAAGTCCTCCTCAAGCTCAGTAGGACTCATCTCAAAGAAGATTGGAAGATTCCTTTTCCCCAAGAAATTGATCCCAAGATCAATATTGCATAGTGGTAGGAAGAAAAAATTGGTCCTTGATCTAGATGAAACTTTGATCCACTCTATATCAAGATCCACTCCAAACAGTAACAACGCTCAAGCACATCTTGTCGAGGTCAAATTCCCAATCAGTGGTATATCAACCCTATATTACGTTCATAAGAGACCTTATTGTGATTTGTTCTTATCAAAAGTATGCAGATGGTATGATCTAATCATATTCACCGCTTCGATGAAAGAATATGCAGACCCTGTGATAGACTGGTTAGAAACTTCATTCCGTGGTAGCTTCTCAAAACGATTTTATAGAAACGATTGTATCTTAAGAGATGGTGTGGGTTATATTAAAGATTTATCCATAGTTAACGCAATTCCAGGATCGCACGCTGCATCAACTACATCACATAACAACCATAACAACAATAATAATAGCAATACTAATTCTAATGATAATAACGACAATAATGATACCAATGCACACACACACCAGCTGCAGAATAACCTATTAAGTGAAGTAATTCTGATAGATAATAGTCCTGTTAGCTACGCAATGAATGTAGATAACGCAATTCAAGTACAAGGTTGGATTAGTGATCCTACTGATCAAGACTTACTAAATTTACTACCGTTTTTAGAGTCATTAAGAAATACAACTGATGTAAGAAATATTCTATCTTTGAAAAATGGCGAAAGGGCATTTAACGTAAATAATTGAATACAAAAATTATCCAGTAAGTTTATTTGAAAATCTAGTTACCTTAATATTTGTAAATATAAAATTTGATAAAAAATCTATGTAAAGAGTTCGAATGATTCATCTGTTTTATCAACTTCAACTAAAATTGGTGGGTGTGAACATCTGGATTAAGTTCAACTTTAACCATTGGTCTATAGGTTGGCTTCCACATTTGTTTTTCAACCCATTTCAAACAAGAATCAAAATCACGAGGGACCTTTACCTTCTCACCTGTTTTAGTATTTGGAATCTCCTCTTCTTCAACACGAGCTACACCTTCCTCAATTGCTTGTAAGATAACAGCCGTGGCTATTTTTGCAGATGTTTCTTGAATATGAGCCATAGATGGTAATAAACCTGGTCTTGAATCTCCCTCTTTTAATGGTGATAATTCTGCAAGTTGATCGACAGCCGCTGAAATCATTTTATCAGAGATAACGGTTGCACGAGATAGAACAGCACCTAGACCAATACCTGGAAAAGAGAAACAGTTATTGTTCTCAGATATACGATAGCCATTTACCGGTTTGAATGGAGAACCAGTGGCAACGAGCGCTTCGTTATTAGTCCAATTTAATAGATCCTCTGGAACAGCCTCATGTAACCTAGTTGGATTGGATAATGGGAAGATAATTGGTCGTGGGTTATATTTATGCATCTCTTTGACAACTTCTTCTGTGAATGCACCAGCAACTGTAGAACAGCCAATCAAGCATGTTGGCTTCACATTTGAAACAACTTCTTCCAAAGATTCGGTGTCAAACGTAGCCCATTCTTCATCAGATTTAGAATATAAATGCTGAATAGGAGTACTTGTATCAGCCATTGAGTCGAGAATCAAACCCCGTCTATCCATTAACCAAATTTTAGATCTAGCTTCCTCGATAGTTAAGCCTTTGTGTACCATGTGGTTACAAATTTGGTCTGCAATACCCAAACCAGCAGAGCCAGCGCCAAAAATTAAAATCCTAGTATCAACCAAGTTTCTATTAGTATGTCTTAGTGCAGCTAATAACGATGCCATCACTACTGCACCTGTACCTTGAATATCATCATTAAAGCAAGGCAATTCAGAACGGTAACGTACCAATAACCGTCTAGCATTGGTGACACCAAAATCTTCAAAATGCAAAATTGCATTTGGAAATCTTTTCTCAACTGCTTTGATGAATTTGTCAACAAATTCATCATATTGTTTACCTCTTATTCTTGAAAATCTATTTCCCATATATAGCTCATCTCTTGCTAATTTTTTGTTATTAGTACCAACATCTAGGCAAACTGGCATAACACGACCCGGGTGGATACCACCACATAAAGTCATTAAGGCCAATTTTGAAACTGCTATACGAATACCACCTACACCCTGGTCACCAATACCTAAAATACCCTCTGAATCAGTAACAACAATGTAGTCCACATCTTTGTCATTACCGTAAACTGATAGTCTTCGGTCAATTGAATCTGGGTCAGTGATATCCAAAAATATACCTTCAGGCTTTCTGAATCTATGTGAATACGCAGCAATTGCATCACCTTCTGTTGGTGTATAAATAATTGGGACTAACTCCTTAATATGTTTATTAATCAAAGCAAAGTAAAGAACCTTATTTTGTACACGCATAGATGTCATAAAATCATTCTTTGACAATGGTGTTTTCATGTTATTCAATTGTTTGTAAGCTCTTTCTACCTGTTCATCCAATGTATTGACTTGAGGAGGTAATAGAGCATCAATATCAAAGGCAACTCTTTCTTCTTGAGAGAAGGCAGAGCCCTTATTAAACAAAGGAGAATTTAGCAATTGAAAACTTTCTAATGGACATTCGATAACATCTTCACTGACAGAAAGTCTTGATATTTTTTTTTTGTTTTCTTTAACCAATCTTTCTGCTTCTGCTCCAATTGGCGTCTTCTTCAGGTTATTTGAATTTTCAAATTTACCAACATAGTTTTTAGTTACAGAGGTGTCATTCTGCTGTGAGTTCGATAAATAACGGTTACCAACCACAAGAAGTGGATGAGAACGAGAATAAGCTCTATAGAGACTTGTACAAATCTTGTTATTTTGAGCCTTCAACATGTTTTTTGGAGGTTTTAGTTATTTATAGTCGTTATCTCTTTGCTTGTTTAATTCTTAGGGGGGTCAAACAGAAATAGCAATTTGAATGTTATCAATGAGTCCAAGCTGAATAAATTGTTTCTTTGAAAGAATTGTTGATAGAAGTTCGGGAAACCTTGGACAAACAAAAGAGTACCTGACCTATACTAAATTTTTGTAAACTAATCAGCTAGTTGATCACAAACTTCCTTGATAATGGTGCGTTAAAAGCTATAAATACATTTGTTAATAGTTATTTCCAAAATATTTTAATAATTATTAAATAATTGAAACTTATTATATTAATGCAAGTACGGCTGGTTGTATAATCAGAAATCAAATTATAATTATTATGGGGATATCAATTGATGCTTTTATTGCGAACACTGTTTCACTACATATTATAATATTGCATTGTTCTAGTTAAGAAAGTGCAGTAGCCCCTTATAAATTTCGAAAAAAATTGTAGTTAGGTAAAACCCACATAAATTACTGCTGCATTTTCCCGCATTATATCATCACGTTTGACATAGCCAACAGCAGTTCAGTTAATAGTCAAAATTTGGGGGGGCAGAACCTAACTTCATAGCAGATGTTGTTGTTGATTGCACCTTTGTTTCCTACAAAAGTTTAGATTCCACTGGCATCTTACTACCAACTTCATCTATTCCTTTCTATATGGCCAGATTAGTAGGTAAAAAAAAAAAATATACCAGTTTGATAATTTCTTGATCGAGCCTTGATGTTGTATGGTATCTCTATAGCTTTACTGTTCCTAAGAGAGCTTATACTCTTCGATCTTCAATCGAAACTTTGCTTCTAAAGAACTGTTCTTTCAGCTTAGTTTGTGTGGCTTACCTAGTAAGCAATGAGTTTCAGTGAAAATAGTTTCTGGCTAATCAAGAAATGGTTTGATGTTTTTCAAAATTGAAATACATTTAAGCTATATCACAGTTTCTTGTTGATGTGATTATGGTCTACATAATCTGTTTGGTGTTGCTGTAATTGCACTATCTTTGCTTTATATAACTCACCTTTACCTTTGGAATTAATCTCATCTCTTTTTAGCTTTTAAATATTTTCGTGTTAAGTGATTTTCAAATCACCCATACTAAAAATTTCAAGTATAATTTAATTCAAAAGTATAAATACTATCATTAATGATAAAAAATCCTACTTATTTCCTGGATGGGAGGCCATAAACATAAGAAACTAGATCCATTATCCTGTCGAGTAAGTACTTCAAGAAATAAAGTGGTGAAGGCTGTTTTTCGTGATTCCTGTATAGTTTTATTTCCATTAGAAATCATAATATCTGTGGGTCAAGATCACTATTTAGACATAAACCATATTACGTACTATATTATACTATACCAGCTTAATTCACCATGGATAGACCTATTGATGAAATTGTTAAAAATTTATTGAAATTCGTTGTTAGAGGTTTTTACGGTGGATCATATATATTGGTTTTAGATGCTATTTTATACCATTCTGTATTGGCCGAAGAAGATTTGAAGCAACTGTTAGGTATTAACAAAACAGATTTGGGACCTCTTATTGCAAGGTTGCGTTCAGATGGTTTACTTTCTACTCACAAACAGAGAGAATATCCGCCAAATTCCAAGAGTATAGAAAGAGTCTATTTTTATATTAAATTCCCGCATGCCATTGATGCAATTAAATGGAAAGTGCATCAAGTAGTTCAAAGATTAAAAGATGATTTAGATAAATTTTCGGAACCTAATGGATATATGTGTCCTATTTGTCTTACAAAGTATACTCAACTGGAGGCAGTTCAATTATTAAATTTTGATAGAACAGAATTTTTATGTTCTTTATGTGATGAACCACTGGTAGAAGACGACTCAGGTAAGAAAAATAAAGAAAAACAAGATAGATTAAATAGATTAATGGACCAAGTACAACCTATTATCGATTACTTGAAAAAAATTGATGATTCTAGAATTGAAGAAAATACATTTGAAATTTCTTTGGCTAAATTGATCCCACCTCAAAATCAATCCAAAGCTGCATACACATTTAATCCTAAGAAGGGTAGTACTATGTTTAGACCAGGAGATGCTCCATTGGCTAATGTTATGGGTACCGCTTTGGGTAACGACAGCAGTAGACGTGCTGGTGCAAACTCACAAGCTACATTACATATAAATATTACAACCGCTAGTGATGAAGTTGTCCAAAGAGAATTACAAGAACGTAAAGCTGAAGAAAAGAGAAAACAAAATGCTGTTCCAGAATGGCACAAGCAATCTACCATTGGTAAAGCTGATTTAGGTAGATTGGACGAAGATGAAGAATTTGATCCAAGGACAACTGCATATGCTGCACAATCATTGGAAGAATCAAATGGTGGTATGTTTGGTAATAATGCGAATGGTTCGAACACTTATCAGCATCATCGTGTGTTGACAGAACAAGAACTGGAAGAAAGGGAAAACGAAAGAACGTTGAACGAATATTATGCTACATTAGCTAAAAAGCAGGCACAGATGAAAGAAGAGGAAGAGGAAGATGAAAGAGAAGATGAAAGAGAAGATGAAAGAGAAGATGAAAGAGAAGATGAAAGAGAAGATGAAAGAGAAGATGAAAGAGAAGATGAAGAAATGGAAGATGAAGACGAATTTGAAGATGAATTTGAGGACGTTGTTGAAGAGAGTGCTGATGGAACAGTAGAAACTAATAGCAGCGATGAAAAGATATCTGATGAAAGTACTGAGGAGAAGGATAAGAATACTGAAACTGTCAGTGATGAAGACAAGGTCGAAGAAATGATAGATGTTAAAGAAGATGGAGAAACGAAAGGAGAGGAAAAAGTTAAAGCAGATGACGAAGTTAAGGTGGAAGAAGGAGATGATGACATGGATATTGAATTCGAAGATGTATAAAGTAATCGTGTCGAAGTAATAGCATCTATGGATTAGATGTAAGTACAATATAATATCACTAACGTGATAACAGCATTACCTGTAAAAAGGTTTATAAAATTATTTAAGGTTTTTTCATAGATTTATAAAAAAATATGATCTTTCTCTAAAGTGTGTAATTTTCAATGTGAATTTTAGTTATTACTGATATACGTATATTTAAAAAGAATATTTACAATAAAGTGTCATTAAAAAGTCAAATAATAATTTTGAAAATAAATTTATTAGAAATTGGTTCAAATGTTTAAGAACCATTTCATGCGCTCATAAACGTAGAAGCTGCAAGCTACCATAGGCGTTACTTTTATGAAGCCAATACTTAGACCGACATAAAATCCACGCCAACCACGTTCTTTGTAGATGATTTTTGCTATTTCTGATATTGATTCAAATTTATGTGAATACATTGTTCTTACAGATAGAGCACTAACCTGTAGTCTCCGTCTAATAATTTCGAAAGGGTAAGCTGCAGTTTGCGAAGCCATACCTGCTACACCACCAGCAATTAATTCAGCCCAAGTTTTCAACGGTACCCTTTGTTTTTTTTTCTTACGCTCAAGTTCTTGGTCTGCAGTTAATTTTAGAACAGCATGTTCCCTTAACAATGGTGATCTGAACATATCATGCAATAAATCATGAGCAAAGAATGAAACACCTGCATATGGAATCATACCTAGTACAGTTGGGATATAACCTCTGTAAAAATTACACCAATGGGCAAACCAGCCTGGTATGTAATGTTTTGAAGTTAGAGTTATTGAAGCAGGTTCGGAATAAATTTGTTCCACGACCTCCATAAGTTTGATACGTTGATGGTCTGTGACATAGGCCAGTCTAACTCTGATAAGATCTAGCGGGTAAGTAATGAATACGCTGCATAAACCAGACAAAGAACCGCTTAACATTCGTCTCCAATGTATTTCATATTCTTTTGAAGGTATCAGAGAAGCTCGTATCTGTTCATAAGCTACAAACTTGACGGCAGCATAAGGGAAAATTCTAATCAATGTAACTGAATGTCCTTGGAAAAGGCCTCTAAAGCCTTCATGTGACCAAATATGTTTTGCAGCCTCTACTAAACCAGTTAGAGAGCCAGTATATTTTGCATAATGAGGATTTGAAGTTTGGAAAAGAATTTTTATTCTATCTAATGGAGCAATTAATGTTTTTGCACATGAACCTGATATACCACCAGCTAGACCGGATCTTAAGACATATTCCATTGAGCCCTTTTTTATAGCGATTGAAGGAGATGAAGATACAATATCATCTTTGCTATCAGCGATATGTTCATTGTCCTTTTTCTTGTGTCTATTCCCACTATTCATGGAGAATATATGAAATGAATGCAAATAATTTGTATTGGGATTACTATTACTAAAATTGATGATAAGTTAAAATAAATATAATATAATATAATGAAATGAAGAGTTGTTAAAAACTGATGATTGATTGATTGATTGAGTGATTTGGTTAATATGGAAAGTTGTGATATAGTCAACGTGAACAATAAAAACTCATTGCCCTGGACATTAACCAACAATTCTTTTATGATATGTTATGCTATGGCACAGCTTATGTTAGAACATCAGGTTTAAGCGATAAATCAAACCAAATATTACTGGTTAGCATATTATAGCTATATTTAAATTGATAACTTAATTATATGAAGATAAGTACAATTTTTCAGTTTAGCTTTGGTTAGCGGTGCTTCACAGCGTCCTTTGCTTGCCTGAAGTTCGCTTTAGCAATATTTAAAAAAAGAGGCTAGTATCCTGAAGAAAGTGGCCAAAACCCGCAATTTACGAATACGGGTAGTAAATGATACGAGGATATGAGAGAAGGGAGGGCAAGAAGAAGGGGAAGGAAAAGAAAGAAGAAAAGGAATTTGGTGAATAAGACGTTAACGTGCTGTTTCTGAGAGTCAGAGGCAGTTCCACCTACCAAAGGTTGCATATATATTACATTTCCTAATTTTAATTATAAGAAACAAAAAGAAAAAAAGGAAACGAGAGATTAGAGGTAATAGCAAAAGAAAACTAAATATAGTGTATATCACGTGGTCTGCATCGCTAGCCAGATCATTTCCAGTTTGTCTCTCTGTTACGCAATTTCTTTTTTTCTTAGTGGCTTTTGGGATTAGTTTGTGTCGTTATGAACGATATATTGTAGGTTAACCTTACAATGACAAGAGACAGAGAGAGAGGGTATGGGGTTTCATGAGAGAGCAGAGTGTATTTCCGGTGGAAAAATAGACAGTTCCGAATCTTGCTTTACAATCAGTCTATTTGGTGGGCTGCTAAATATACATTGACAAAAAATATACTCATACTCATACTCATGCGGTGGAAAAATGTACCTGCGAAGTATATACAAGGCAACTTGTTTCTGGTTCCGTTGAAACAAAACAGCAAGTATATAGATGGATCGATGATTCATAGATGGATGGATGACAAGTTTCATTTTACCTTACTATGTATATAAAGAGGGCACATTGATCAACTATTTCATAGATCTGTTTTCAGACTAATGTGCTATACCAGAATGTACTACAATAGCATATCATAGAATATCTTAACATAGAGTGAAGTGACTCAGTCGAAAAGACAGGAAACAAAACAAAAAAAAAAGAATGTCAGAACAGAAGGGAAAAAATGTTAAAGCAGTCGATCCTACAAAATCATTTATTGCAGGTGCTTTGGCAGGTGCAGTTGAGGCATCCATCACATACCCCTTTGAGTTTGCCAAGACAAGACTACAACTACAAGATAAATCAATTCATTCGACTAAAAACCCAATCAAACTTATATATCAGACGGCTCGTTCTCAAGGAATTGGTTCAATTTATGTTGGTTGTCCTGCTTTTATTGTCGGCAATACTGCAAAAGCTGGAATTAGATTCCTAGGGTTTGATGCAATTAAAAACATATTAAAAGATGAAAAAACTGGAGAATTGAGTGGTATACGAGGTGTTTTAGCAGGTTTTGGTGCCGGGTTATTAGAAAGTGTGATAGCGGTGACACCATTTGAAGCGATTAAAACGGTGTTAATTGACGATAAAAGACAAAGTATACCAAAATATCAGCAGAATGGCCGTGGAATGTTAAGCAACTACTGGAGCTTAGTTAAAGATCAAGGTTTTACTGGGATTTACGGCGCTGTTATTCCGGTGTCGATGCGTCAAGCGGCTAACCAAGCAGTCCGTCTTGGTTGTTATAGTAAAATTAAGAATGCTGTTCAATCATACAGTGACACCCCTCGTGATCAACCGCTATCGACGGGATTAACATTTATTATTGGAAGTTTCAGTGGTATTGTGACTGTGTACACAACGATGCCAATCGATACTGTCAAAACAAGAATGCAAAGTCTTGACTCCAACCGTTATAAGTCTACTGTAGATTGTTTTGTCAAAGTGTTTCGCGAAGAAGGTTTGAAGACCTTTTGGAAAGGTGCCACTCCAAGATTGGGCAGGTTAGTACTGAGCGGTGGAATTGTATTTACAATCTATGAGAAAGTGATGGTGGTTTTAGGATAATGAGACGTGGTGCGTCTGTAGTTTTTGCCCTGACTTTCCATCATTTTGTCTACTAGACATTTTTTTATAGAGAATCGTAAGATGCATACTTACATACGTAAATACTTACTTACTTACTTACTTACTTACTTACTTACTTACTTACTTACTTACTTACTTACTTACTTACTTACTTACTTACTTACTTACTTACTTACTTACTTACATACAAATATACATTTTAATAGTGTTCTAGTGCAAGTAGAAAAGATAAATATAAATATGCCTTGAGTTCATAGCAGGGTAATTTTTGTTCGATGGATCTTTGCACTTGCCGTTTTTTTGTCTCAGGTATTAACTCCGAGAATCAAAGGTAGTTGGGGTAAAAGATATCCTGAAAACATGATTAATTCCGAAGTGAGAAAAAGAAAGAAGTTGATGGTGATGACTGCCTAAGGGGCGGAAGAGGGAGCGGAACCATGAGGCTAGTATTCCCCCCGCCCCCTTCCCCCAGACATACAGACACACAGACACACAGACACATACCCCACGCTCAGACATACAGAGGAAGAACAGCCAGTTAGGTTAGGTTAGTAATTAAATTGTTCAGATATAACTATATAGGGATTAAAGGAAAACTGAATTAATCTTGATTTGGTCAGTCATTAATTCAATCCAATAAAAGATTGATTAATTGGTCGGACATTTATCTGTTTTTGTATGTATGTATGTATGTAAGTATGTATGTATGTAAGTATTTTAATATTTTGATTGAATCAGGTCATTCAACTTTCATTATAACCCGTACACGCTAATGGCTAATGGCCAATGGCTAATTGCTAATCACTAATGTATAAGAAGAGGTTCGGCGGTTAAATTTTTTATAGTTTTAGTATTATTAGTATTAGTATTATTATCATCATCATTATTATCGCTACTTTCAAGTGTCAAAACAAACAAACAAAAACAAAAAATTGCGTACTCCGGATATTAATCTCTACGGTTCTTGATGAAATGAATTATTGGAGATTTCGTTGTTATTGGCGAACTAATTTGGGTTTTTGTGGTTGTGTTTTTTTAATTCTTAAAAAGAAAAATTGGATTTTATATGATTTTTTGTGTATTGATTTTTTTGTGTATTGATTTTTTTGTGTATTGATTTGATTTATTGATTGATTGATGGATGGAGATTTTGTGGAGATTAAAAAAGGGGAAACCAAAGGGGGAAAAAAAGGGCGAAGGAAAATCCTTTTTCTAAATTTCAGTTTCAGGTTTTTTATTTTACCTAAAAACTCTAATTATATAAACTGGGGAGGTTGCTTCAATTAAAATCTTGTCTTGTAATGTAAGCTCTTGCTCATTTATATTTTAGGTGTGCTCTCTTCTTTTTTATCCTCTGCTTTTGATAATAAAAATTGTCTGTGCTAACATTAAAAAAAATTAAAAAAAGGTTCAATTGTTGTTTTTAGCTAGGAAGATAAAACTTAATTGTAGCCTGCAAATTCGTTTAGTACTATATTAAAGGAAGAACGAGAAAAGTTAGGCAAAAAAAAAATTTATTAAATTGTGTTTTTGACTGTAATGAGTGAATTATCATTTAAAGATAAGGTTGTTGTAATTACAGGTGCTGGTGGTGGTTTGGGTAGGGTTTATGCATTGGAATATGCTAAAAGAGGTGCTAATGTTGTTGTTAACGATTTAGGTGGTACTTTATCAGGTGCAAATGGCTCTACTGGTCATAGAGCCGCCGATTTGGTTGTTAAAGAAATTAAAGAAAAGTATAATGGTAAAGCAGTAGCAAACTATGATTCGGTAAATGCTGACGGTGAAAAGATTATCAAGACAGCTATTGATTCTTTTGGTAGAATCGATATTTTGATCAATAACGCCGGTATTTTGAGAGATGTCTCGTTTAATAAAATGACTGAAAAGGACTTCCAAAGTGTTGTTGATGTCCATTTAAATGGTTCTTATAAATTAACAAAAGCTGCTTGGCCTTATATGAGAAAACAAAAATTTGGTAGAATTATTAATACCGCTTCTCCAGCTGGTTTGTTCGGTAATTTTGGTCAATCAAATTACTCTGCCGCTAAAATGGGTTTAGTAGGTTTTGCAGAGACTTTAGCAAAAGAAGGTTATAAATATAATATATTTGTTAACTCAATTGCTCCTTTAGCAAAATCAAGAATGACTGAAAATATTATTCCACCACATATTTTAAAAAATTTAGGTCCTGAAAAAATTGCTCCATTAGTTTTATATTTAACCCATGATACAACTAAAGTCACCAATTCTACTTTTGAGTTAGCTGGAGGGTTTTATGGTCAAATTAGATGGGAACGTTCTGCCGGTCAGATTTTTAACCCAACCAGTGAAGACTCTTTTACTCCAGAAGCAATCTTGAATAAATGGAATGAAATTACAGATTTTAAAAATGACAAACCATTCAATAAAAAATCTCACCCTGTTCAATTATCAGATTATAATGATTTAATTGTCAAGGCTAAACAATTACCTGCTCAAAACGATCAAGGTTCAGTTAAAGTTGATTCATTAAAGGGTAAAGTTGTCATTGTCACTGGTGCTGGCGGTGGTTTAGGTAAATCTCATGCCACTTGGTTTGCCAAATATGGTGCTAAAGTTGTTGTCAATGACATTAAGGATCCATCATCTATTGTAAACGAATTGAATGCCAAGTACGGTGCAAATTCAGCAGTAGCTAATACCAATAACATTATTACAGAATCTGATAAGATTGTTCAAACTGCTATTAGTACATTCGGTAGAATTGATATCTTAGTTAACAATGCTGGTATATTGCGTGACAGATCCTTTGTTAAAATGACAGATGAAGAATGGTATTCAGTTATCGCTGTTCATTTGTTGGCAACTTTTGCAATGTCAAAAGCTGTTTGGCCACACTTTACCAAACAAAATTCTGGTTTTATTATTAATACTACTTCAACTTCTGGTATTTATGGTAACTTCGGCCAAGCAAACTATGCTGCTGCTAAATCTGCCATTATTGGTTTTACAAAATCTTTGGCAATCGAAGGTTTTAAGAAAGGTATTAGAGTCAATGTCATTGCTCCTCATGCTGAGACTGCCATGACAAAGACTATTTTCGGTGATAAAGAATTCCAGAACCACTTTGAGCCATCTCAAGTTTCTCCATTTGTTGTTTTATTGGCCTCTCAAGAATTGCAAGCTAAAGCAAAGAGAGGTGTCACTGGTCAAATGTTTGAAGTTGGTGGTGGTTGGGTAGGTCAAACAAGATGGCAAAGATCACCAGGTTATGTTGCGGTTGATGATGAAATTACTCCAGAATTAATTCAAGAAAATTGGAAGTCTGTTGTCGATTTCTCTGGCAAGACCACAAACCCAGCTTCAACTGAACAGTCATCCATGCTGATCTTACAAAGTGTTCAAGCTGCTCAAGCAAAAGCTGATGGTTCTGATGGTTCATTCTCTTACACTCACAGAGATGCTATCCTTTACAACTTAGGTTTAGGTGCTACTACTAAAGAATTGAATTATGTGTATGAAAATGATCCAAACTTCCAAGTCCTACCAACATTTGCTGTCATTCCTTTTATGAACGCTACTGCAGGATTGAAATTCAATGAATTGGTAAATAATTTCAACTATGCAATGTTATTACATGGTGAACAGTACATCAAGTTATCTCAATACCCATTGCCTACCAAGGCCTCTTTGAAGACTGTAATTAAACCATTACAAGTAGTTGAAAAGGGTGGAAAAGCCGCTGTAATTGTTGGGGCATCTGAAACCTATTGTACAAAGACAAAAAAATTATTATGTTACAATGAAGGTACCATGTTTATTAGAGGTGCTACTGTTGGTCCAAATAAGACCATTAAGAATAACAGAGCTAAGTTTGCCACTCAACCATTTAAAGCTCCAACTGACAGAAAACCAGATTATGAGGTTGAAGTAACTACAAGTGAGGATCAAGCTGCTATTTACAGATTATCCGGTGATTACAATCCATTGCATGTAGATCCAAAATTGGCAAAGAAGGTTGGCTTCCCACGTCCAATTTTACATGGTTTGTGTACTTTGGGTGTCTCTGCAAAGGCATTGTTGGAGAAGTATGGTCAATTCACTGAATTAAAAGTCAGATTTTCAAATGTTGTCTTCCCAGGTGACAAATTGAAGATTAAAGCTTGGAAGCAACCAGATGGTGTAGTTATATTCCAAACTATTGATGAAACAAGAGGTGTCATTGTTTTGGACAATGCTGCTTTGAAGTTAGCAGGTTCATCAAAACTTTAATCGACTTGTAGATATCATTAAATAGCTATGGGATTCATTGATAATTTTTATTTGAATCTTTTATGTTTATATTTTAATTATTATTATGACTATCGTTAATTGATTAACTTTTGAATGCATTTTAAATTCAATATTATTAAGTACTTAAGTTAAATATGTTCAAAAATGTTAATGTTTAAATTTGCTGATATTTTACATAAAATTTAAAATTGGAATCTTTTACCTAAATGGAAATGATACATATTATTAATTGTTCGAGGTGATTGAAGTGCCCGGAGCACTTAGTTGTGATTTTTTCGATGGCGGTTGAAAATTATCCAACATGCTTCTGTATATTTCTTCATAATTATACTTTATATTTGTCATTGTATTGGGTTTCACAAAATTATTTACGTCAAAAAACTTGCTGGCACAGCTCCATCTATGCCAGGTAAAATCTTTGCCAGGATTGCAATTGCAGTGCAATTTCTGTCTTATTACTACATCACTGGGGCAATCCTTATTAGGATGGTGGAAATAACCAGTATTTCCAACGAAGAATATTTCATCAGCGGAAAGCATATAACTAACTGCAAGGGTATGTACAGGGGCATCACCCCAGCGTTCGTAAAAAAAACCACCTTTAGATTCTAAATAATCAAAATATGCATTATACTTTTCACCTCTATAAAAATCCAGACTTGCTATTTCAAAATTGGACCAAAAATGGCATAAATTATAGGTCTTCCCATTATCATCAGAAATAAATTTCAAATTATTATTTTTGGCAATATATTTGGGATTCTCCACAAAGAAATCAGTTGTAGCATTCCATAAAGTAGGAATCGTTCTTTCATCTTCGGTTAACGCCATATTAAATGCATACTTTTTATTATGATTTCTCATATATTGGAATACGTCATACGGGATATCACAGGAAAAGTCTACATTTGGCTCAATTCTCCAGTAATAATCTATATCTTTCAATTCTTCTAACTTATAAAAGAACCCTGAGTTAAATCTACACATGAATCTATACGATTCACTTCCTCCATAATTGATATGTTCTTGCTGGGATTTTTCTCTAACAGTACTGGCACGATCTTGATCAATACCTTCAGGGTATGACCAAAATTCATTTGGTATTTTTATAAACTTAGCGTTACCAGAGACTGCTTCCGAGATTACTTCAATAAATACATCATCAAAATCTTCATCATTCATGAAATACCAATCATAATGATACTTGGAATTGAATCTTTTTTCAAATTGCTTAACAGTTTCTAACATTCCGACTAGTTCAGAGTTTCTAACTAATGACAACAGTATATCGTTACCTTTAGCACTATCATCTCCATATATCTTAATTTTTTCAACTGTATTGGAAAGAGTATTATTAAAATTAGTTAAATCTTTAAATGAAAACCCACTATCTATAACATAATTACCTTGTAAATGTAATAATGATACTATCATAAATATTGTGGAAATGGCCAAGCAAAATATTACTTTCCTAGTTGATAAGAAAGCTAACCGACCAATGTGTATCATTAAAAAAAATAAGAGACTTCAGTTGTTAGCATAAGCTTACTAAGTTGGCTTGATTTTAATATCAAAATCAAAATTGTCCTAGACAAAAATTGTCGAATATTTCAGTCAATTCAATGTTGTAAAAAAAAATAAAGGATATTAGTATATTAATACTAGAATCAATAAATCGTATTGATATATCTGATTTGTCCTTAGAGACCTGGCTGAAACAATGATACTACTTTTAAATATAAATATTTTTATATTCCTGCTTCTTTAAATAGTAGCAATTTCCTTAAATTTGAAAGTTAAATGTTTGCTGAACCCTAGAAGTTCACCAACTAGGTACCAATTAATTATCTGAGGGTAAAAGAAGACTGGCAGACTGTCTTAAGTATAGTTCTACCTCAACGAGCAGATACGATCTCAAGATATAAGCCATCTTTCAAATCCTTGACTACTAAAGTTTGAGCCTTTTTTCTTTGACTAAAAAAAGGCTTATTTCGAATTCAAATATATGGGTTTGATCTTTATGTTGAAAAATAATTCTAAACAAAAGGCCGTACAAATTGCAAGCTAAGTCGTAATAAGTCAAGTTATCGATCTGAGTGAGAACTAATCCCTAACGTTAATAGAGAACGCTGGTTTCAAAGGCTACCTAACAAGATCAATAAAAGTATATGGATTGTTGTCTCAGAACTGTGCTATAGGATGGTATGACTCTAGTTCTCTGTTGTTGTTATAAATTATTTTTTTTTGAAAAATTTAAAATATATATTACAGACTATTTTTAATTGGCATCGCTAAATTAATACGTATATAAATATACCATTGAAAATATTCTATCTTGAAGATTTAATGACATATGTATATGCAATGATATTGTTTGTGTTGTATTCCCTTTCTCTTTTTGTTTTATTTTTGATTTTGGATTTTCGATTTTTAGGCATTTTTGCTTTCTTTATGGTAACACATTAACCCAAAACTTCATGGACTCATCTTTTGTTTTACTACTGTCTTTGCACTTGAATTCTATGAAATTTAATCCTTCATTCAATCTAATATCGTAACTTCTATTATTATCTTGCTGTAGTTCATTCTGTGTTACTGAGGATCTGTTGTTGTTGTTCATGTTTATTACATCTTTGTTAACAATTAGTGTGGACTCTGAACTTGGATCGGCAGTATCTACCACTAAAGTTAAGAAAGTTTGTATAGGTTGCAAAGAAAATGAGTACATGTTTTCATTTTGACTTAGTTCTAGACCGTTGAATATGAACTCGACCCAATTTTGGTTACATGATGGCCTAGAACCAGGCAGAGGTTTAGTCGCTAAACCATATAAGCTTTTGGAAGAATAAATTGCAAGTTGTTTTATTAGTTCGTAGGGTTTTCTTTGCATAATATGATCTTGAGAGATGGTTTCCTTACGTAAAGAATCAATTATATTAAATTTTACAATCTTTGGTTGATCCTCTGAAGGTGAGACTGATAATTTATTTTTCTTAGATTGATCATCTCTGTTAGGTCTCAAGAGGTAATCCTCTGATAATAATGCTCGATTAAACCATTACCC